ATAGTAACTTATACGATTGTTGCGATTGAGAGCTCAAATAATCAAATGACGACACAGGCAGAGCAACGAAACGGAGATGATAGGCAACCGATGTGCCCTCCGGAGATGTCCCACCGTGCTCCTGGCACTCTTAAGCGTCGCGTACCGAGCAACATCTTCAAGATGGAATGCGACGACGACGCCGCTATTGCCCGGACTAGTCCTAGGGTTTCCCTCGATACGTGAAGGGCAGTATGAAAGGGGTATACCCGACACTCTTCAAGAAGGAACGACGGCGCTCGCAGGTGTCGCCGCGTCGGCGCCAGATGAGCCGATAGGGATTTCTCTCGACCCAAAACAATCATCACCACCCCGGACACTCCATCGAGCTCAACCCAACTTGCCGCCCACCAGTATGCGCCACCACGGTCTTGGAGCCATCCCCATCGTCTCATTGTGGTTACCAACACGAAGCCAAGAGAAAGGAAGAGATTGAGGGTACCAGCAACACAACCGAGCGGGAGGGCCCCATACCGGCTGACAGTGCCGCCATCACCCGGAGACCGCTGGCACACCACCTCCATCTCCTGGGAGCGTCTTCGCCATGCGAAGGACAACCGGCCCGCCCCAACCCAAATGGGGCCTAGATCTGGGCCGCGCGGGCTCCATCGGCAATGACCGCGCCACCACGCCACCCCATAGACAACGCCTGCGCCGCTGCACTGTAGAGCACCCGGCCTGCCAGCGCCGAGCCGCTGCCGGGAGGGAGATATCCCCGACTCCGCTTCCAAACGCGTGGGGAAGAGAAGTCTACTGCCGCCGGCGCCACCGGGCTACGCCGGCGGCGACGAAGGGGGAAGGAGGAGGAGGGGGGCCGAGAGGGGGGAGGGGTGAGTGGTGGCGCTTCATCGCCTCACCAACGTACTACTATATCACAATGCAAGCTAGAGTACAATTTTCACCATTAACCAAGTACATGAGCATAGGGCTATAATAACACCTTTAGATAGGAACATGACACACCTGCAAGCATCACAACGGGCGAAATCGGCCAACACCGATCATGACTCTTACTTATCTCCCACACCCTCAACAAGGCAACATCGATGATGCAAAAAGGAGTTGGGTTGGGGCATGGGTTCGGTGGTTGGTCTCCTATGTGCCCAAAATATTTTTAAAGGGATATGAACAACAAATTTGTGATGTGGACATGAGTTGGAATCAGAGCCGCGACTAATGTTGACTCCTCACCTGGAAAAACGTTAATTTACGCAGGTTTGTTATGATTAGCATGTTATCAGTGGCTCGAGGAGGAAGGTGAATCCAGTGCCTTTGGATGTCGATCTATTGGTCAGGAAAGAAAGTGACTGATTGAAATGTTTTTTCAGGCACCTAACAAATAGCCACTCTTTTTTTCCATTCCTTTGTTTCGAAAGAGACTCTTAACGGGTAAGGCAAATTGTTCTTTGCCATGGTTCCAAAATTGATAAAGTCACACATTCATATTCGTTGCATTTGAGTTGAAAATACTTCAGATTCTGAAAACCACTTGCTTAAAGTTGCAAATATTCTTCGGTAAAAGATAGAAGAAGGCAACAACCCACCTATCAATGGAATGATACACCCCCTGAGTGTATTCTCGAAAAAGAAGAAGGCAACAACATTATCATCAATGTGTATCCAATAACAAAATATTTTTAAAGGGATATGAACAAAATTGTAAGGTGGGCATGGGTGGGAATAAGAGCTGCGACTGATGTCGACTCCTCACCTGGAAAAGTGATAATTCACTCAGGTTGGCTACAGGAACATGAAACCATGATTGGCTACTACCGAGAAGATTCCCTCGCCAAAGATATCTGCAAGCTGCAAGCAGGAGCTGAGGTGAGATCCGATGGAGGGGAGCGGCGGCGGCAAGCACTTCATCCTCGTCCACGGCCTCTGCCACGGCGCGTGGTGCTGGTACAAGCTGGCGCCGATGCTGCGCCGCGGGGCACCGGGTCACGGCGCTCGACATGGCCGCGTCCGGCGCGCACCCGGCATGGATGGACGAGGTGCCGTCCTTCGAGGACTACTCGCGGCCGCTGCTCGACGCCGTGGCGGCGGCACCCGCCGGCGACAGGCTGGTCCTGGTCGGGCACAGCCTCGGCGGGCTCAACCTCGCGCTCGCCATGGAGAGGTTCCCGCGCAAGGTCGCCGCGGCCGTGTTCCTCGCCGCGTGCATGGCGTGCGTCGGCAGGTACATGGGCGTCACCATCGAGGAGGTAGGCAGACCCTCCCAGAATCAAGCTTAAGGCCCTCGATGAGCTCACATGGCCATTTTTCCGGAGCTCAGATGTTTTTTTTCTTTTTTCCGAAAAGGGGTTTTACCCCATCCTCTGCATCAGAAAGATGCATACGGCTCATATTATTAAAAATAATCCAGTAATAAAGTCTCCAAGTCTCAAAGTAAGAAATAAAACAAAACGCTCATAAGAGCCAGATCGAAAGCCACAACCGGCTGTCAAATAAAATAGAAGCACTACATGCCTATCCTATTACATGACCGCCATCCAAATCGGTTAAAAATAACCCGAGCTACCATCTCTCATCGAGTAGACGCAGTAGCCAAACGCCCCCTGGCCTCCGTCGGAGTGAGTAGCGACCACATACGGATCAATGTTGTGGCCCTGAAGATAACCTGCAAAAAGTGAATGTTCGATGTTCTGTTAAAAACCAAATCATTTCTGCAGTTCCATACTGCCCATAATAATGCACAAACTCCAACACGAATGTGGCTCGCTATATCCGAGTCAACCCCATCAAGCCACTTTCCAAATAACATGTTGATGGAGGAAGGCGGAGTAATATTAAAAGCAATATGAATCGAACGCCAAAGAATCTTAGCCAGCGGACAATCTAGAAAGAGGTGTCTGATAGTTTTGTTATGATCACAAAAACTACACCTAATAGAACCCACCCAATTGCGTTTTGCCAGATTATCCTTTGTCAAGATGACTTGTTTATGTACGAATCATATAAACACTTTGATTCGCAAAGGCACCTTTACTTTCCAGACATGCTTCGAAGAGGTAATGACACTAGAGTTTATGACATCTAGGTACATGGATTTGACTGAAAACACACCGTCCTTAGTCAGTTTTCAATACAACCTATCTGGCTGTTGAGACAACTGGACATCCATCAACCTTCTTACGAGATGAAGCCAAGCCTCCCAATGATCACCAACTAGTGTCCTCCAAAAACTAATATTGAGGGGCGTGGACTGTAAAACGTTTGCAACGTAAGCCTCTCGTCGTTGAACAACGTTGTACAGAGTAGGATATTGAAGTGCGAGGGACGTCTCCTCAAGCCACGTATCCTCCCAGAACCTCGTATTAGCTCCATTGCCTACTAAGAACCTTGCCCTGTTGAAAAAGAGTGTCTTGAATCTCATCAACCCTTTTCAAAATGGTGAGTCAGTCGGTCGCAAAGTCACCTGTGCCAATGTTTTGGACTGAAGATACTTATTGCGCAAAATCTGAGCCCAAGTAGCCACAGACTCGGACAAAAGTTTAAATAGCCACTTGCTGAGGAGACATCTATTCTTGACATCTAGATTTTCAATGCCTAGACCCCCTTGGTCCTTCGCCTACAGATGATGTCCCATTTTGCAAGCCTATACTTTCGTTTAAGCTCATCAATCTGCTAAAAGAGTCGAGATCGATAAAAGTCTAATCTCTTCCTGACCCCCACCGGGACCTCAAAAAAGGATAGAAGAAACATACGCATACTGGTAAGGACCGAATTAATCAGAATTAAACGCCCTCCATATGACATGAGCTTCCCTTTCCAACAGCTCAGTTTCTTTTCAAAACGATCTTCAATGCACTTCCACTCCTTGTTAGTCAGCTTATGATGATGAATTGGTATACCTAAGTACGTGAACGGTAACGAACCCAACTCACATCCGAACAATTGCTTATATGCCTCCTGGTCATCATTAGCTCTTCCAAAGCAGAACAATTCGCTCTTATGGAAGTTAATTTTGAGCCCGGACAATTGTTCAAATAAGCATAAAACAAGCTTCATGTTTCTCGCTTTCGCCAAGTCATGCTCCATAAAGATGATAGTATCATCAGCATACTGTAGTATGGAAATACCGCCATCAACTAGGTGCGGAACCAAGCCACTTATCTGCCTCGCATCCTTAGCCCGTCCTATTAAGATAGATAGCATATCAACCACTATGTTGAATAGAATCGGAGACATGGGATCTCCTTGCCTTAATCCTTTGTGTGTCTAGAAATAGTGACCTATATCATCATTCACTTTAATTCCTACACTCCCTTTTTGCATAAAGGACTCGATCTGGTCTCGTCAGGCCGTGTCAAAACCTTTCATACGCAAAGCTTGTTGAAGGAAAAGCCATTTAACTTTATCGTATGCTTTTTCGAAATCCACTTTAAAAACCACACCATCTAGTTTTTTTGAGTGGATCTCATGGAGCGTTTCATGCAAGACGACCACCCCTTCAAGGATATTTCTATCTGGCATGAAAGCAGTCTGGGACGGTTGCACAACTGAATGCGCAATCTGCATAAGTCTGTTCGTCCCAACCTTGGTGAAGATTTTGAAACTGACATTAAGCAGACAAATGGGCGTAAACTGCTCAATGCAAATAGCCTCTGTCTTCTTCTTAGGAAGAAGAGTTATCGTTTCAAAATTGAGCTTGAACAACTGAAGCTGCCCAATGAAAAACTCAGATGTGAACAATCATGGCTAATTTCTCGCGACTGTTGATAGTTCTCAAGAAGAACCACATCCGATTTTTTCATGGACAGCAAGATCATGGTTCTCAACACAGATCAAGGCCCTCGGCCTGCAGTCGCGCTTGGCCCCAAATTGTTGGCAGCGAAATTGTACGATCGAAGCTCAGTCGAGGTAACATCAACATAACAAAGAAAATAACTGCTTTTGAGTTTTGATGTCAACCAACCAACAACCTTTCTAGTACTATCATGCTCGCAACATGGACGCAGGACCTGACACTGGCTATGTTGTTGGTGAGACCGGGCTGCCAGTTCGTGGACGACCCGATGATGAGGGACGAGGCTCTGCTCATCGACGCCAACTACGGGTCGGTGAAGAAGGTGTACGTTGTGCTCACGGACGACGTTTCCACCTCCGAGGAGATGCAGTGCTGGATGGTCGACCTGAGCCCGGGCACGGAGGCCGAGGTGCTCGCCGGAGCCGACCACATGGCCATGTGCTCCAAGCCCAGGGAACTCTGTGATGCTCTGCTCAGGATCGCCAACAGGTATGACTGAGAATGGTTGTGCACATCCACACGCTCAACAAGCATGCCAGACCAAACTCGAAAAGTCTGTTAAAAAAAGGAATTCCAGAATCTAGTACACCCTTCGATCCAAATTAATGGACGCGGTTAATTCAGATCGAAGGGAGTAAAGAAATTTGTACCGACTGATGACAAATGGAAGACCGAAGCATTACGCTAGTTCACCGTTAAATTGTTAGTGGTAGGTTAAATCGATTGCTGTTTGAAGACCCGATCATCCCGTTGCTATTTCCCCCGACTTTACCATATACAAATCATCATTAATCTAGAGGATATAATCTGAGAAGGTGTGACAGACTGGCAGACAAGCACGATGCTAAAATTGAGGAGCTGGCTAAGAAAAGAGCTGCTGCTAAAGATAATTATGGTAAGGAACATGAACTTGATTTTCATAATGCCTCCTTGTTATTCATTGCAGATAAAATTGAGATTGATCTGGGATGTTCAATTAATATGGTTGATTCAAACTTGGACATTATAGCTAAGATTCATGGTGGACACGGTTCGGGCCAGTCTGGTCCCGGCCTGAGCCATCGTTTGGACCGGCCGCCGGCGGGCCGGACCGGACCGAGGAGGCGACCGGTCCTGTTTTGGGGGACCGTACCGGCGCTGATGAAGCCCGAGCAGACTGACTGGACCGAATGGACCGGCCAACAACTACCAGCGTCGATGTGTGCGAGTGCAGCGGCGAGGTGGGCTACGTGCATGACTGATGGGACGAAGTGGACGACGTGCGTGAGAAATTAGCTAACAACTGCAACTTGGGCGAAACCAACAAACTGAATTTTCTGAA